ACAAACGAACGAAAAACCCCAAAACACACCTATCAGACTTACCTTGGAATACCAGTAGTTTAAGCAACCAAGTCAGTTTGTTATCTTCTCCACTAAATAGATCCAGTTAATAGGCTGAATAGTGCATAGAGTCTATGCCTTCCTTCCTTTCTTCATGGCCAGCATGTATTATGACTTAGGCTCACTGTGATTTTGTATCTACATCATAAGTGATTAAGTCTATCAACTAACACAGAAAAGGCATTAATTGTACATTTCTTTGTAAATAAAAATTTGGTAGTTTCAAAGCTCTATGCGGCAGCAAAAATTTCCTAGAGTAAAGCATTTATTTATTAACAAATAATATTGTTTTCCTTCTCTATAACACACATTGATTTTGCAGATAAGGATAAACTGTAGTATAAAAAAAGATAAACTGTATCTCCCACTGACTTGATAGACAAATTTTAATCATAATACATCTTGTGGAATATTAGTTAAAATGTGTTATACTAGTATAAACTGTGGAATATTTGTTTAATGATGCAAAGGTGCATTGCATTCTTTTATGTTGCATTTGTTTAAATCTGTAAAGCTGTGTTATTTTGCCTGTTTAAACACTTGATTTTTCTAATAAAGAGTCAAATGTTCAACAGGTAGGCAGGTGAGAGAAATACATAGGGCTTCCGGGCAAACAGAATAAATAGGAGGAGAAATCTAGTCTCAAGGAAAGTACAAGAATTGAGAAAGGGGGGAAAGGAGGATGTCAGGAGACAGCCACCCAGCCACACAGCCAGCCATGGAGTAAGGAGTAAAGAAAAGTATTTAGAATAAATAAAAAGCCCAAAGGCAAACTGTATTTAATTTAAGTTAGAAAATCTGGCTATAAACAAGCCAAGCTAAGGTTGGGCATTCATAAGTAGGAATTAATCTCCATGTATCTATTTGGGAGCTGGGTGGTAGGTTCCCAAAGAGTAAAATTCAATGACATATAATTTATATTAGTCAGATTTTCCTGATTACAACATTACTGATATATTACTATGAGACCTTTCTGAGGGCATTTGAACCTATACAGACTTTTACAGCTGGCAAGGTATATTAATCGTCAGTTGATAAGTGAAAGGATTTATTTCCATGAGGATAGAGACATACAGATGTATCAAAACATTCTTATTACCAGTCCTTAAGACAAGAATTCCCAGAATGTGATGAGGATTTTAAGGAATTACAAAAACTCTAATTAGAGAAGAAACACATGAGGCTGGCTTCAGAGGAAGCAGAGTGTGAAGCCTTAGAATCTAACATAAATACTTTCAGTGTGTACTGATATCAATGCGTGATTATTGATCATGTCCAAGATATGTGTTTGTATATGACATGATTAGAGGACAATGCTCGCTTCTAGAAGTTAAGGACAATGTGTGACATACAGCAACAATGGGGAGAAAAGCATCCCCTTGGAAAAATATGAAGTACATCTAGCAAGCAGATCATAAGATGGGAGAGTATGAATGGCATGAGACAAGGTTGTGCTAGATCAGTATTAACTAGAAGTTGCTACAATTTACAATCCCTACTTGCTAGCCATTTGTAGGACTGAGCATGTGAACTGTGCTTTAGGTAATGAACACACTACTTTTCTTTCTTTTTTATTTTATGTTTTGATTTTCCAAGATAGGGTTTCTCTGTGTAACAGCCCTACCTGTCCTGAAACTCACTTTGATGTATACCAGACTGGCCTGAATTCACAGAAATCCATCTGCCTATGCCTCTCTAGTTCTGGGATTAAAGACATGCAACACCACTGTCCAGCTACTTCTTTTCTTTTAAATAAATTTTAAGTTATATTTATTATGGCTAACATTCTATAAAGCACACATATAGACTTTCTGTGGAGTGTGTGTGTATGTGTGTGTGTGTGTGTGTGTGTGCATGTACCCATGAGCACTGTGATGGTGGTGGTTTGTGGATGATCAGAAAGTTGAAATAAGTAAAAGTGTGAGAGGAGATTATTTAGGAATCCAGAAGGGAGATGATGGAAAGGTAGAGAAATCACAAAAGTATGAAATGAAAATATTTAACTTTATTTAGCTGGGGTTTGGAGAACACAAAAGGGTTTATCAATGATAAATGAATAGCTTAAAAATCAAGTTATATAGTTGAGAAAATATAGATCTAAGAATAATTTCTTTTCTCAGTGGCTATTGGGGATTCTGTTTATATTAAAGATATTACTTTGGATATTACTTATTTGTTTAGAAAATAGTCTATTCAAGGGTAGCATTTTGCATTTCACAAGAATTCATTATAATTAGAAGTTCTAAGTTTTAAACAGTGAACTTGTTTCTATTTCTTTATGTTCTCTATATTTCATGATGTCTCCTCAGTCTTTTCTACTTTAGTCGATCTATTTTGTCTATGTGTTTTAAAGGAAGTCTATTTAGTCTGTGTTTCATTTATTCTGTGTTTTATTTAGATTCATGAATTTATATAAATAGTGTGTATGTGTATGTTAGCATCAAGGACAGATTTAATGCAAGTTAGTCAATCAGTCAACTATTTTCCTTTGGAGTGATCCCTTCCTTGGATCTCAGTGTGGAATGAGGTGGTAAAGGCAGGTTTGTGTGCCTCACCTTTCTCTGGCTTCTAGTGAGATAGCAACTTTCCCTCGATTTAATACCTTTAACATAGGACCAGTTGTGACATCACACAAGTCTTTACTTTTAATGCAACTAATGGAATACTCTTTGAACAATCATGATGAAAAATGTTTGTTGGCAAGGAAGGCACTATTGAAAGGATAATAGAGTAAAATATCATTTCCCTGTACTGTAAACCTAGTAGGATATGCTTGGTTCCACTATATGTAAACATATTAAAAATAATGAGAGAAAAATAATGGGGAGGCATATTAAAACTCTTGGTTTTGTTTTTATTTTTTTCACCATCAAAGTGTTTAACCACATGCCAGCCATTCAAACCAGTGCTTACATGAAGCAAAACCTTACTACCAGCAACTTGAAATAACTTCTCTCATTACTTCAGAGCTTCTAAAGAGGCAAATCCTCTCCATGACATCATTAAGATTTTCAGAATGGACATATTATAGCTTCATCCATAAAAGAATAGGCCAAACATCTACTAAGTACAGAATTCTAATGCTTTCATCTGACAGGTAAAAAGTAAATAGATCCTCATTTTTCACTGACATTGAGGATTTGTCCTCTCAAAACAGTCATAGGAAGTTTCTTAAGAAATGAGAAAAAGAATTAATACTAGTGTTTATTAATTCAAATTTTATGTTTCATGCATTTAAATTATAGTCTGTGTCTTTCCATGATATGTATAAGCAGGTGTGGACTAATTTGCCAAATGTTATGACTAAGCATCATGTATTGGGTCTTATCAATAGAACAGTTAGATTTGAAGAGTCTGAAGTCACCATCTTTGACTTGCTTAGCATTTTGGGACTTGGGGAGTCACTGATGCATCACTTTAAGAGGATTAGGTTTTCCTTGCTCCTCAGCATAAGAGTTTTGAATCACACAAAAAACGATGTGGCCTTGGTGATAAGACAGGCAGCAAGCTGTCTGTGTGAAGCTGCTTTGCTTTTAAATGGCTTGGTCTGGAGTTTGAATCCATAATCCTTTGGTAGAAAAGCTTTAGGGTTTGCAGCCAAGAAATGAAGGCATGCAAAAGCCATTACCTTATAATAGAGGCTGTTAGATAAGCAAACTATGAGAGGTTAGACCCTGGCCTAAAGGGAACTGGAGAATTAAATCAAGATAATAATCTTGTTAATGCTGAACAAAATTAAAGTTCACTTTTGAGGAGTCAGATTATTTACATAAAAGTGTAGGCTCTCCTTTGCTTATACAATATGAAGTTACTAAAGTTTTGTGCAGATTTATCTAAAATCTTACAATTTCTAAATTTTAATTAAAGTATGTCTAAATGTAGTGAAAACTCATGGGAGAAAATGTATCTTCAAAGATTATTTAAAGAGAAAATTCCTTTCTCTTTCACCTTTCCATATGAAAGAAATAAGCTTACATTTGTTTTTGTTATGACCACAAAAATGAGAAAGAAAAAGACTGGTGTCTATTATACTAAAATACAGGGAAAATACAGAGAAGAAATTAATTTATTAAATATTATTTCAAGTAGCAAATAAATCAACACAAAGAACTATAGCCTCAGGAAGTTACTTAAAAGTGAGTTATCAGAGTTGAAAAGTTTTCTGCCTTTGAAGCTTTGTGCATAATTCCAGAATAATTTTTACTCATCGATAACCATGAGGGTACTGGTGCTCCCACTGAAAGCCAGGTGAGCTATTCTTCAGTCAGGATTAAATGAGATGGCGGGGGGGGGGGGTTATGAAGATACCAACATACAAGGCAGAGAGTTGTCTAAAATTTCAGTGTTGAGAATTGCCAAAGCATGGGGATGGGTGTGTCTTCAGTTTCTTAAAGAGTAGCCAAGTGGGTCTCAGTTAGAAGGCCTGGACAGTCTATGGGCCCTCTGACAGGGATGTATCCCTGGTGCATGAAAGGACTTTGGGAGCACTTTCCCCATGGAGGGATACTCCCTTAGTTTAGAGGCAGAAGGCAGGGCCTAGTCCCTACTCCAAATGACTTGACAGATTTTGATGATCCCTCCTGGAAGGCATCACTCTCCGTGTGGACTGGGGGAGGGGATTGGGATGGGATGAGAGGGGCCTCGGGATAGATATGTAAATATCTGTATATGTATATGTATACGTATACGTATACGTATACATATATATATATATATAGAGAGAGAGAGAGAGATAGAGAGAGAGAGAGAGAGAAAGAGTGAGAGAGAGAGAAAGTTAGACATGAGTTCAGGCTTGACTGTATCTTATAATTTTATTATTGTGCTTTGCCAAAGGGGTTAGAAAAGAGCTTTCTACTTAGTCCTCAAGTCAACTATGGAAACAAATGCATGTGCAAGACTGCACTTCATGGTGTTTGAATAGCTCTGTCTTTCTGTTCCAGGTGACTATGTGGTTATGTCTGTATATTTTGATCTGAGCAGAAGAATGGGGTATTTTACTATCCAGACCTACATCCCCTGTACACTTATTGTGGTCCTATCCTGGGTGTCCTTCTGGATCAATAAGGATGCTGTACCTGCCAGAACATCTTTAGGTGAGACTTAATTCTAGATGCTCTGGTCTCTCAAGATAAATACCTGAGTAAATCACTGTTTATTTCTCCTTTTTATGTGCATTCACTAAGAATGCAAATGTTAAATGCAATTTTGTTTTTTGTTTTTATTATTTTAAAGGAAATCAGTATAGTTATCTACTTATTATATTTAATATTTACTAATTCTACAGTTCTTTCTTAATTGGCATAAGATTTCTTAGTATAATTAAATAATAAATTTAAGTAAAGATAAAAAACAAACAAAAAACATAATTTCAAATGAATTTTGTATTTTTCCCTTTAGGTTTTTAACCTTTCCACACATAATCATAAGTGATGAATACATATATCCTTTCTCAATTATTTGTTTAGTGATATTACAAAAGAATTTGAACTCTGCCAAGGTGGTATTTTCAGTATCTTGGAAAGGGAAGCACAGTAACCCAGGAACTGTTGTTTTCTAGAATCAACTATTACCTTTTTGCTAGCACACTACTCCAGGTTAATTCTAGCATGAACAATTATTGCAATGATATTTAACTAAATTGACTCTTTCCAAAACAGCAATTTAAATGATTAATAATTCGGAAACAGTTTTTGACATGTTTAGGGAACACAATTATTTTTATGCCTACTTGCAGTTTAGTCAGTATTTTAGAATATGGAGATAACTGTCTTAGAATTTCATCTTTTGTTTATATATGAAAGTAAACTTCCACAAATGAAAGCGAAGTTATCATCTCACAGGGACATTGCAGGCTCAATTCACAAAATGAATGGTCATTCTATGGAAAACTTATTCTTTAGCTATATGCAAACCAGTACTACATATTTTGCTAAACCTGTGGTGGAGAAAGCAGTAGCAGAGCATGAGTTATCAAGTTCAGTGATCTTTATTTTTGGCCATACATAGAATAGAGCTGTGCAATCAACCTCATTCTCTCTAATTCATGGTTTCATCAAACATAAAACAGTTATCGTTCCTGCTTCCTAACTTGAAGGGTTTTATTGGGCTAAAGTAACATATTCTATGCAAAGCACATTGAACAGAGAAAAGCCTCAAATATGTTAGAGACTCTCATAATTTCTGATAAAATGATCTGGAACCAGGTTATTAAACTGAGGGCAGAAGTGATTACTGTGGAAAAGACAACATTTGCATATCTGTCCTCTTATAAACCCAATTTAGTTTCCCATCTGTTTCAAAATGAAGTTATTTTGATTTTTTTCTGATATATGCAGTACATTGTGTTACAAATTCTGTTCAACAATTCAAATATCATGTCTAATGCCACATATTGAAATAAGCTCCAAATATGTTAAGCCTAACATTGCAAATTGTTACTTGGTGGGTCACCATTTCTCAGGAGAAATTTTAACTGTGTTGCTCATCTATGGGACAGATCTCCCAGCTTGCTGCTGCCTAAGTAATTATTCAGGTAATTTATATGTTTATAATTAGGTGTAACAAATGCTCTGATATATTTCAATATACCATTTTCCAAAAATTATTTTAAGGCAAGTATTTCAATCAGTCTTTCCTTTTTGAAGTCTGGATTCTTTTTACCAATATATCTTTAATGAACATGAGACCAATTCATTTCAGTCACTCAATATCAAGTGTTTTCTAGCAACAAAACATTTGAAGAGAAAAAGATGGAAGTAGGTTGAAGGAAGGCCCTTCATAAGACAGGAAGCATGTTCTCCTTTGATCAATTATAGACCAGTGAAGCTCACTGTTTTTGGTGCCATTACTATGTTTTTCAACCATCACTGAAAAAAGATGTAATATACAAATTAGCATATTTTAGAGCTGAGATAAGCATGCAGATATGCTGAAAGTTAAGTAATACCCACAAAGTCACACATTCAGTTGGTAGCAGACCTGCACGTTGGAAAACTGGACATGGGCTTGTCCTAGGTGTGAGAACTTGGTGAATTTTACTTATCATCAAAGGACAGAAGCCAAGCTTAGCATGTATCTATTTTAACTTTGTTCTCAGTTTTCTAGATCAGTGTTTCTGAAATGTGAATGTAGGAATGTTTTGGAAGTACAAGAAACGTATACCCACCCTGCATATAAATTTTTCTTTGTGCTGCCAGATCACACACACACACACAAAATGACACAGAGACTTATTCATTATGAAAGCTTGGCCTGTAGCTTAGGCTTTCCATTAGCTCTTATTACTTAAATTAACCAATTTCTACTGATCTATGTGTTGCCAAGGCTTGTGAAGTTTACCTCCCCTACTACATGTGTTGTTCTTTCTCTGTGTGTCTGACTGGTGACTCTCCTTTCTTCTTCTCAGAGCTCTCCCTGTCTAGGAGAATCTGTTAATTCTCCCGTCTAGCTATTGGCCATTTAACTTTTTTATTTAACCAATCACACTGACATATCTTCACACATAATAAAGGAATACTCCACACTGCCAGACCATGAGGTGCTTGTTTCATTTGCCTTAAACCTAACCCACATTTGGGCTTTTGTTTCTTAATACCAGGTGAGTCAAATAAGTACACATTTTTCAGAACATGACTTTTATTTGTGGAGTTCCATAATCTTTTCTAGCATTTATAGTCAAAATGTAAATCTGATTACCTAGAATACCTACAGATTTTGAACTTCTTCTCATGGGGAAGTTATACCTGACTTGTCTGATGGCAGAGCCACTGACAACACTCAGAGATATTGGCTGTTTTCTGCGGACATATTTCTGGATCTTGTAACACATGGATGTGGTTTGGTACACAGCTGGGGGATGGTGAAATTTAATGAGGCTATAGTGAGAGTGGGTACATAGTAAGATGCAAATACATGTTTGTATATTTCACACAAGTATTCTGAGGTGAGATGGCATTCCCAAGAAGCTAATTTAATGCTAAAACTGGAATTAGTAAAAGCTGTATATCTCGCTTCTCTTTTTAAGCTAAGAGAAATTTAGTTTCTTCAGCTAGTAAAACTGGGCTTAAAACAGACTTCAAGTTACCTTGTTGATGAATCAGGTAAAACCATGTGTTCCTACTTTCTAATGTCATAGTTTTTCTGTTTTCTGTGACCCCAGGAAGAGCTCTGAAAATAGGAAGCAGTACCTCAAGATCCACATTGACTAGCTGGGATGAACTTCCTTGTGTCCTAAATAACATCAGTATTTAAGTAATGTGTTAGAATTTGTTTTGACTTAAGTATCACATGCCAGGTATTCTAAAATGAACTCATCTGTGGTCTCTACCAAAATTAGTTACTTTTTCACATTTTTGAAGTTCAAGTATAGCTTGAGGCCTGATTGTGAAAATGAAGGCCCAGTTTCCAATTCCGTTTTTTACATTCTCAACAAAAATATGAGATGCAATTAGGTAAAATCAAGAAGTTCAATTTGAATTAATGTGTACCCAACCTAATTAGTTTCTTTTAGCTTAGGAAGTAGATCATCTCCAAAATAAACACAAATATATAACCATACTTGAAACTTTATTTGAAGTCAATTCTCTGTGTTAGTCAGATTTCCATCAATGTAACAAGTATATAAGTAAATTAATGTGAAGGGAAGACTTATTTTGGTTCAAAGTTTCACAAATTTAGATTGTGATCACTTGACCTTGTTGTTCTGAGCCAGAGCACATCATGGTTGAAGTTCATAAAGGAATAAGTCTGCTTATGCCATGAGGATAGATGGAAATTGGGGAGAGGGAATGGGGTTGTCATCTTAATATCTCATCACCTCCAATGTCCCAACTTCTTCTCCTGTCACTAAATATTGCACCAAAAGTGTCAAGCTGAAGACTGGTAACACATGAATACTTGAACAACATTCCAAATCCTCAACACAATACCATCTACATACATTAGTACACTACTGAATGTGCACACACATGGATAAGATTCACCATTATTTTTCCATGCTGAACTTTAAATCTAACACTACCAAAACCAATAGGAATCCTAAGAAGGCTCTCCCTCTTATAATATGGTGGAGGCTCCCAGAATTGCAGTGCTTACCAAATCAAGATGATGAAATAACTCCTAGCTCCCTGGAGTTTCATTCTCCACATTTTCTTGTATTTCTAAATACATACAGAAGTTAAAAAAACTGTAGTATGGTGTAAAGCAGTTGATGTCAGGCTGTCCACATTTTTATTTCACTTGTACCCTATACTAGCTCTAGGTAGTTTTGGTAACTTCAGAGGTAGTTATTTTTTATTGGGCAAACTTTAATTAGATGGTGTTACTTATGCACTGACCCATGTCTCCAGTTTAGTAATTTTGAAAGGTTTCCCCTTGTTCAAGAAACATAATGCCCCATACTACATGTATACTGTAAAATTAATACAACTTTATGTCACCAACATCACCTTGATCTCATTGCTTCTCTACAGATGGCAGGCAGTCTAAATTTTCATAAATAGACATGACTGTCATTCTTTAGATCCTGCTTTTAATTAATTAAATCCAAAACACTGATTTCCCTTTACCCTGGAAGCTCGGTTTGAATATGGATGCCTCTAAAGTTCATCCTATGTGAATGCTGTCTGAGTTTTGAGTATGGATGCCTCTAAAGGTCATCCTATGTGAATGCTGATATATACCTGCCTTTCCATGGTATATATCAGAAAATGAGACCAGAACTTTCTTTGCTAACTCGATTATGCTGTTTCCTCTCACTAAAATACAAAGCACTCACATCCACTTCTATAACATTTCCCATTATGTACTCAGTAACAATCAAAATAATTGATGCCTAAAAGAGAGGCAATATTTTAGATAGAGTTGAAATAACTCCAATTTTCCAGTTATTCCTCCCTTCCAGAGGATGTTGAATAGAAGAGATATTACTAGTATGGTGCCTCAGATACTCACCTTAATGATGATATTATGTGATCTCTTTTGTTGTGCCTCTTCTCTGTAGGTATCACCACTGTCCTGACTATGACTACTCTCAGCACCATAGCACGGAAATCTCTGCCCAAGGTCTCTTATGTCACAGCAATGGATCTCTTTGTATCTGTTTGCTTCATCTTTGTGTTTTCTGCTCTGGTGGAGTATGGCACCCTGCATTATTTTGTCAGCAATCGGAAACCAAGCAAGGACAAAGACAAAAAGAAGAAAAACCCTGTATGTATCATTTTCAATAAGGACAACCGAACTATTTATGAAGAAAGGTCATTGGGTTTGGTTTGGGTTTGGATTGGTTAGCTGACCTGCACACTGTCATTCAGCACATTGAGCTTCATGATGGAAAAAGAATAAGTGAGCTTTTGACCAGAATGCAAAGGTTTATTTATGATCATTAGTTAGGGTAGAGTTCCAAGATACACAAAGTCAGACTCTTTATGCAAAATAACTGCAAATTGCCTTCAATATAGGGGACTAAAACAATGTCCAGGTATACATTTGAGTTATCATTTTATGTGTCAATGACTTTCATCTTTCTGTCCAGATTACTATAATATTTTTAAATTACAATGCTTTAATTAAAATGTATACAAAAGGTATCCAATATTATTATGTTCTTCTAATAGTTTACCTATCATATCAATTTGTAAATAACTTAGTGTGTGTGTATGTGTGTATGCATATGTGTAGGTGTGTATGTGTGTTTATGCACACATATGCATTTTCCTACTAAAAATTTCTTATCGTTGCATACCTTCATGTATCTTTTTTCCTTCAAAACAAATGGCAAGTTACTACCTGTCTCTGCCTTACTATATAAAATAAAATTAGATGGATATCTTAAAAACAAATTTTAAATAAGGCTGATATGAAAAATAAATGTTATAGTGAAGATAAACAAACCAACAAAATATTTAAAAAATACAAAAGTGTCATATGAGATTTCTTAAACTTGGTACATGGTAATGGAAATTGATACAGATTGTACAGTTGACAACCTGAATTTTTATTTTTGGTGACTGCTTGATTTGGAAACAGGTAAGATAAGTTCCACTTGTACTAAACCATAAAATGAGAGAATGAGACTTAAATATAAACAAGTAAAGGCATTATCTTTTATCATGAGTGATGAAGATAGCATATAGATGCCTACTTATCCATCTGGACCTAGTGTCTGGGTCTCAGAACCCCCGTGAAAGGGAAGTTTATTTCATTTTGAGAGATTGACAAAAGCCTTACCTTCTTGAATTGACACCCTGCCCTGGTTTTTGTTCTGAGAGGCTATCTATCTAGCCATGAACTGTGGGTTGACTAGAGAACTCTAGTGACTAGAGAACTCTAGTTGGATCTTACTCATATTCTGATGCACCTCCAGAAATTACTGAAGATATTTACAAATGACCTATTTATTTGAAAGTAATAAGGTAAATAAAATAGTATCCTTGGTTAATGAAAACAGGAAACCTGCTTTCTTTTAATCTCCCAAATACTTCTTGTACTGTGTGTGGTCCTTCCTTTCCCTGTCTGTTCTGTTTCTACCTTTCCACTTTTCCCTATTCTTGTTTGAATTTTCTTGCTTTAAATTTTGTTTCTCTACTTATTCCCTCTCCTTCATTTCCTAATTTCTCTTTCTCAAATTAGATGGCTGTACTGATACTCATCTTTGATGAGGATGGGAGACAGGTTATTAGGCAAAGTCTAAAGTTCTTTCCAAAAGTCCTCTGGCTTTCTTTATCAATTGAGAATGGAAATTGCTACAGAGACAGAAATAGTGGTTTCTTTAACTCAGGTTCATGGCAATAGAAGAAGGAAACAGAAGGCAGACAGAGATGAAAGAAAACAAGAAAATATAATTACTGGAGATTCTTATGCATTTTCTCCTTTTAAATCAATTTGTTTATTCATAAGAGCTAGTTGCAGTCTAGATGGTGAAGGTTTAAGCAGCTGAAAATGCATCTCCTTGTTTAATGTTTTCTTCACTTTCCTTGTCAGGACTCACATATGAAGTCCTCTTTAACAGCAGTTACAAAATTCATACTGTTTTTCTACAGGCAAAGTATTCACTAGGATGTATCCTTGAAATTGAACAGCATTGGCCTGCGCAGTCATGTACTTGTGGGTAATTTGTTAAGGATTTAATCACCACCAATCACAAAATGTCATCTCTAATTTTAGATATACATATTATGCCAATCTCAGAGCCCACCTTCTATGTTTATGCTTTCAGTTCACTTTACTTACTGCGTTTTCAAAATGTATTTTTAATTTGTCTTATTTTGTTTCTCTTTCTCTTTTTATTCCTTTTTCTTCTTTCTATTAAAAATTGCAATTCTCTTTTCTGTCTACAAATCCAAAGCTTCTTCGGATGTTTTCCTTCAAGGTATAATGTTTTGGAATGGAAATTTCACTGCATGCAACTGCTGAATTAACTATTAATGCTTTCCATGGTGCTTTATTTTTTTGTGAGTAAGCATTTAAGTAGTCTAATAGATGCTGGCACACTCAAGGTGGAGAATATTCTATAGACCTCTAAAATTGATCCAGCAACCAGACACTATATAGATTCTACACTCATCTCAAAACCACAAGGCCAATAATAATCACGTATAACAAGACTCTATAATTCCAAAGCCCAAATGGACTGTTTCTCTTCAGATGTAAATGAAATACATTTTACTGTCTATAATTTACACATATACTTCTTATATACATATATATTAAAAGAATATTTATACTTTTAAAGCAAAAATTTAACTGTGTAAACACAAATTAAAATGAGGTTTTAAAACACATGCTATGAACTTAATCTCTACGTATTAAGAATTTTATAATAAGAAAACTGTGTTTTCAAGATTTTAATTAAAATCTTTCTTTCCAATATGATCAATAGGCCTATTGGCTCTGTGAAATATAGAAATGGGATTTTTATTCTCCCTAATAACTAATTTATAAACTGTGATTTATATTTATACATTCCAAAAGCTAAAAATAAGCCTTGAGTTTTGGGTTAATTTTATTGTTGGTCAAATATGGAATATTAGATTACTATTTTGATAATGGCAGTTCATCTTGTTGAAAATTTGACAAGCAATGACATTATTTTTGAACTCACAATTTAATTGATGTATGTAAACACTGATAATTAGTTTTAATCTTTAAGTTGGTGAGTGTTAGACAAATTATATTATCTTAATATATAAATTAAATCTTTGTGATATAAAACAAATGAACTTCTTTATTTCTCCATGTCTATTAACATTTGCTGTTTAGTATATTTGGTCACTATAATGGATTCCTATTTGCCTATAAATTAGCATGACATGCAATTTGATTTAAAAACCAATGCACTTTTATTTCTCTATTTTACTCACTTGCAGTACCATTAACCAGCTTCATGTAACCAGCTTCATATCTAATAATTAATAGAATGAGATTCCATGTAGTTTGATTTAAATATTGATACTTTGAGTTATTTTGGTGTTCAATATTTTTGCTGTAGCTATTAGCTTGATGGTATTGTTTCCAGCTGCACCGCTTAAGCTCAGAGTCTGATACCTGCAACTGTGCTATCTTTCTGAGTTCAATTTTACCATTGTAGATCGCAATGTCATAAGAAATTTCCTGAGTACTCATTTTCAGATTCATCATCTCATTGGTGACATTGTGAAGAAACTGTGTAACATCCCTCCATTGTAGCTAACTTGAATCTCTAATCTTTACCTACCTTGTCTCAGGCCCCTACCATTGATATCCGTCCCAGATCAGCAACCATCCAAATGAACAATGCCACACACCTTCAAGAGAGAGATGAAGAATATGGCTACGAGTGTCTGGATGGCAAGGACTGTGCCAGTTTTTTCTGCTGTTTTGAAGATTGCCGAACAGGAGCCTGGAGACATGGAAGGATACATATTCGCATTGCCAAAATGGACTCCTATGCTCGGATTTTCTTCCCCACAGCCTTCTGTTTGTTCAACCTGGTTTACTGGGTCTCTTACCTTTATCTGTGAAGAGGTATGGGTTTCACTGATAGGGGTCTTATTAGATCAATCTCATGAAAGAAAATGTCCTTTCTAAATTCAATGAAATAATCCCCTACGTGGTCATTTAATTTGTTCTTTCTGTCCTAGTAGTATGTATAACGCCATACTATCTGTGCCAACTCTCCTTTGGTTATTGTAATTTGAACTTCGGTGTGCACTGTCTTTCAACCTGCAAGGCAAAGTAAAGTTAGAACACAGACTATTACACCAAGCGGAATACTTTGAGCAAGAGCGATGGAAACGATGAAATCTCTGAGTGTTTATCAGTGTTCAGTCTTTGATTCCCATACGGTTTAGTACAAAATGGGCAAAGCTGTATGCTGTGTTCACTTGAGGTCAAGCTGTGGTAAATTGGAACAAATTAGAATACCTCCCTCATTTGTGAACATTCACAATAGAAAAGTCTAGATTAGAATTCTATTATACCTTTATCAAAGGTAGGAAAATATCCTGCATATTATATGTACAATGATGTAAATATTTTAGTAGTATAGAATGCTTCAAGGTTAGTGCATGCATCTCTTTAGAGCCAAAGTAAATGAACTAAATGATCATTATATAGTATTGTCTTTTATTTTGTGTCTTTGGGCTATATGAGAATATATTAATATAATTACAAGGATTGGGGCTTGGAATTGGAGGGGGTTCACTGTCTTCTCCCTCATGCATGAAAATTCAGGTTTCCAAATTATGTTAGTCTTATAAGACATTAAAACTTTGAGTAAAATTTAGGCTGATTAATTTTGACAGCTCTAAATATGCCCAACTTCATCACTAGCCTATAAAGTAAATATATGTGCTTGCTGCTGTTTTTCCTTTCTTTGAAGATGTGGATTCTTAAAAGAAATATTTCTCCATCTCAATATCTGCTTTAGTGATTGCTAACGCCTTGTGGGAGGAGTACTTGTCATTTCTTCTTTAGATTCTCAACATCTTACATTTTGCCTGGCACATAGTTAGTGCTCATCAAATATGGCTGCAAGCAACACACCCTCCTCTAGTCTGGTGAATACTTTTCTAACCCAAGACAACCAATTCATCTTCTCACATTGCTTTTGGCAAGTGATGAATTATCTGTAGAAATAGACAATCTAAAAAATTGCAGCCTTTCTATCCATCTTCAAAATTTTGTTTTAGGCAAAGTCTGTATTCATTTTAAAATAATATCTACCTTCTACACATATGTATGCAATTGACTTGAGCATATAGTTTCTTGGTTATCCAGCTTTTTTTTTTTAAAGAATCAATTTAACATGTTATAAAATTTCTGCTTGTGAACCTATGACAGTATGAGCAAAATTCATACCTGACTGGTATACAGTATGTAGTATCCTGTGCTTGGAAACAATGTACTGAAGGTTAAATTAAAAACTGTAATGGCACTGAATTGCTGACATGCAGGACATTATGTCTCTGAATGTAGGCTCATTTTGCTCCATAACAACTAAGTGGAATGATGGCCTGGCTTTAGACATGAGTTAGACTTCAATATGATAATGCTGAATCATTAGTTTTCTAAAAGATGTAGTACCATAGGGTCAGTTCTTTAAGGAAAACACTGACTTGAATCAAAGTTAAATCATAGTTAGTGTAACTTTATAGGTGATAAAAAGACAAAGTGAGTGTCGTTGTTAATATAAAACCACAAGAAGTCATTAAAATTCATCTGGATGAATCTTGAAAACATTCTGCTGCTGGTTTTGCAAAACTTTAATATACCAGTGATTTAGTATTTAACCTCAACCAGATGTAAATAGATGGTTATTTTCTTGTTTCAAAATGTCAAAATAGTCATTGTTGACTCTTTGGAAGAGTTGTTGGCAAAATCCAGTTGTGAAAAACACGTTATTATTGTCAACTTGAAATGTATTCTGCAGTAGGGATACTGAGAAAAAAAAACATAAAGCTAGCTTTCCAACATGTGTATAATATTGGCAATATGGATATGTATCATACATCATCCAAATCTTAATCATCAGCTGCTCCCTGTCTATGTATTTGGAAACCTTTTCACAAGAGAATTGACTAACATATGGACTTTTCCAATAAATATGTTGCATTCTAATCCATGGTGGCATCTCAGTTGTCTGGTTGAACTATTTCCTGTTTCTCTCAAGGGTTATCGTCTCTTTCCAATTTCATTTCTGTAAATACAATTCCAATGAGCTTTATTTGTGAACAGTGTTGCTAGTGCTGAGAAAGTGTTTTGTTATGTTGACACTGAAAAAAAAAAAACTGAGATAAGCATGTTTTAGATAGAGTGAAGAAGGAAGACAAAAGTGTTAAGTTGGTAAAGCTCATCTACACTGCAGTACTTTTGAAGTAAAAAACTGTTCTCCAAGTTGGGGTTAGAGTATCACTGACACACTGCTTAATAAGTTAGCATTTGGAAGCCATTATTTTATTTTTTTTATGCATATAGAGTATTTTTTATTTAATTTTATATAACAAAGTCCAATTAAATGAAAACAAACATTTATACACAATATTTGGGAATTTGGGCGTCGTTCTTTCCAAACTACTTCCTGCTGGTAAGGGGCGCTGTCTTGGGGGATTCGAAGAAGATTCAGATATTCTAGCTGTAGTCTGTAGGGCTGTTTTGTCCAGCTGTTTGGAATGTAGGATCAGCTTGTACTCTGTTTCAGGCGGTCTGGTGTGATCAAACCACATTAGTCTGGAAGGAATCCACATGTTTTCATTTTCTGTGGAAACAAAAATAGAAATACTTTTCCCCAGTAACTTGTTCTTCAACTTAAATTTTGGAGTCAAAGCGTTTTTTTTTTTTTTTTTTTTTTTTTTTTATTATTATTATTATTTTACATGTCGATCCCAGTTCCCTCTCCCTCCCTCCCTCCCTCCCCCCAAGCCCTCCCTCCCTCCTTCCCTCCCTTTTGCCCTCTCTACCCTCTCCCATGCACTCTAAACACCCTCCCCTCCCAACCCCCCACCACAATACAATATGTAGGGGAATGCCATCCAGTTGGGGTCATGTAGATCTGACAGGTCCTGTGAAGTAGGGACTAGGGCTTCTCTCCTATCTCTAGAATAAGGCAGTTATCCCTCCATGGGGGATATGTTTGCAAAGTCCTTTTGTGCACCAGGGATACATCCTGGCTCCACTGTCTGAGGTCTCTTAGGCTGCTCAGACCTTCTGGCTGAGACCCATATTCAGGGGGGTCCGAGTCAGACCCCTGTTGGAAGCCATTATTTTATAAACTATGAATTAGACATAATAATGCCACCTCAATTAATGATACCTAATGGGTAGTCAAACATTTTTTTCTCACTTCCAATGTACACATGTAGTTCAATTCCTTCCACTCCAATCAAATCAGCCCTTTTATAAGAGAGAGCTATCCAGTCTGCCTTAAGGTGAGGCTGTATAGTGTGGTTCTCTTTAACGGGGATATGATATACAATTCTTTTTAATAAAGCACATGTTGGAGGTCAGAAATTTAGCTAAGTGGAGAAAACAACTGCTATGAGCACTTCAATTCATAGCCCTAGAATCCATGTAAAGCTGGATGCAGTAGCTGTCACATTTCGTATCCTAGGGATACTATGGTGAGAGAGAAGAGAGACAGAATATTTGGAAAGTTATGGAACAGTTATTCCAGTATATTCAGTGGTGTTATAAAGAGATTCTGTGTCATAAAATGTTGAAAGTGGGGAGTGGGGATTGAATGACATTGTCATCTATGGCTTCTACATGTACACCATGATACATGTGCTCCCCATACACACACACTTGAGAACACCCACACACACACACACACACACAATGATGAAATATAGGTTGAAGATTCATGGTTCCAAATTTTAAAACATAGGAACATAGGACCTGATGATCCGTGATTCAGTGACTGACAGTGTCCTATTTTCTCAGAGGTCTTTGAAATTCAGAGAATAAAATAATGGAAGCATTCACTGATGATATGCACTAACTTACTCCACATGTCATTGTCTTGCCCTGCTGTGTCTTCCTGCATCTGATTTAAATATCCATTTCTCATATTTGGGTCATGGCAGGATTGTTTTCATGGAGGTCTTCTCTGATATTTACCCAATGCCTTATCTTCAACTAAGGACATATTTCTTTATAAAGTCTGCATTTCTCTTTTGTCTCAGTGTTACCTACTGACTAGCAGCAGTAAACTTTATAGGTGAATATCAAATTAAATTTACCAAGTGGTACAGTCTGTACGGTATGATATGAATACATTCATTCATACACACACACACACACACACACACCCATATATATAGATATAGATATAGATATAGATATAGATATAGATATATAGATAGATAGGGAGGGAGGGAGGGAGGAGCGCTGTCTCTATGTTCTGTCACTATGGATTTTTATCAAAGGTGTAGAAGGTAGAATACTGATCTATACCATGGTCACTTCATTATTTTCAGTGAACTACTGAGATCACATGCCTTACTCTTTCCATTGTGTCTAATGTTGTTCCTGAATTTGGAAGTAGAAGTTGGTTGAGTTCAGCAGAAAGCTTTCAGTATATACACAACCACAAGCTTCATTCCAGGCACTGGGTTCAGGAAGGGAACAATTACAGGTATGCCTTGCCTTGAAACATCAAGAATATGACAGAGGGAATAAATAGTAAAACACAAATAATCCTAATGGAACTATGCACAATAGTTACAGTAGAAGAAGTCAATATTCTGTCTGTGAATAAATGCACCAAAGTATTTGTTGAACACATTTTTGTTATTTGTGAGGCTTTATCACTCATTTTAGAACTTCCTTTCTTATTATTATTGAGGAATTATAGCAAATTTACAAAATGTGAAGAAGTATTACTGATTCACTAGCTACAGGTAATCTCTCCACAGAACATGTATTTTATCTTCTCTCTGCATGTGTTTAAATAAGTAGATAAAGTGATAAAACCCTAGATCAAAATATGAATATCTATATATATGGGGTGGGCACCATGCATATATGTAGTTTTGTATAATTTTACATGCATATATGAGTTCATGTAAAAGACAGTTTCTGAA